ACACTACCATATAGACAACATGTAGACCAAGTTTCGCGAAAATCCGAAACCTACCCTTGAAAATTGATCGTCATAGTCTGGAATGTGCCAGCAGTGATCTCTATCTCGTTCGTGATGTATGTCTTATACATAATACACAGGATTAGAATGTCCGCGTCATATTCGTCGTTACGAATACTACTACTAATACTACTACCACTACTACTATTATTATTATTGTTATGCCGCTTGTAAGAAATATCAAGAGCACTAGCTTCTCCTACTCTAAACACGTTTGGTTCACGAAGAACGTTCGTATTTACAATCTGCCTGTTAAACACAAGGATTCTAGGAAAAGGATATGGGAGTAGCTGGGACGAAACCATGAGTGCTTTCAACGACGTATTATGGAGCTTAGTAGTATAATATCATGTGTGCTACTCAAGAAACGAATAATCATGATGAATCATATGCTTGGACCTATACTTAAAAAAGATTGTACAATATGCTCTATAAAATGACAATCTAAATAGTTTTAGAAGGGAGAACTTCAGAAGTGTGAGACGACGCATAGTAGTAGGAGAACGATCTTGAAAGAGCGAAGCGCTCAATCCAATCTCATTTGTTAGAAGAATTACTTACGAGTATTTATAGTATCCCAGATCTCTGATCTCAAACTAAATCTCAATATCAAAATGAATTTTAAAATACTGAATACAATTAAAATGAAACCATTCGACCTTCTATAGAAAAGTTACTACGAGTTGAATGAACAAAAGAATTAATTAGTAACTTAATTAAGATAAGAGGATAATAATAAAATCATTCTTGAGCTCCATACTGAATTTAAAATTGTTATACCGGATCGAATTGCGAGAGAGATAAATACACATTATGAATGTTTTATTGAACTCCGTGAATACATACAAAGATACGATTTGTTCGTAAAATATCATGGTGCCAATCGATCTCAATTTAGTCATTAAAATTTAATATGCTTATTCCCATAAAACTTGAATCTATATATCAATAACTTTATTTCTTAATATAAAGGTTCACCTGATAATTTTTTTCTGGGTTTTCATTAAAGCAAGTCTCAACTAGTTTTGATTGATCCATAAGTGATGGATTCAAATGAAAGTACCTCGCCGTTAAGAGCATAGGTTAGAGTTTTCTTCGATAAAAAAAATAATAACTATGTATTGACTAACAGGAAAAGGTTGGTATCGATCCTTTCAAGCAAGGCTGGGCAAGTGGGTGCAGACAGTGATTGAAGTTTTACCCTTTTCATCACTACCTTTATAAGGTCTGCCCCATAGGTCTGCATCCACTTCTTCTTTCAGCTCTTGTCAGCATTGCTCCTTGCTGCTTTTGATTGCCTTAACCAGTTTGCGTCGTGCTGCTTTGTGAGATTCTTCGAGGTGACTTTTTCCTGGTTCGCGTGGCTTTTCTTCTTGCTTGAATGCTTTTCTTTCGATCCTTATTGTCGCTATTCCACCAGTTCATTGGCGGGTGGTCGTTGTTTGAGCGTTTTCGTGCCATCGTGGCATCATATACAACGGCGATTCTGCACATAACTTCTTCTGCCTCCTCTTGCATGCTATTGGTAGAAACAGGTTCAGTGTTGAAAATCTCTTGGAATAGTTCCACGTCAAATTTGTTTGCATTCCATCTTCTGAAGGACGTCCTCTTGAATTGAGGCCCCGCTTTTGCTTTTACGCTCAGCACTGCTCAGCTAATGAATGGATGGTCGCTCGCATTGAGGATGTCGTGCACAGTCTAGTCGTTTCCTCCTCTGGCTATACTAAGATTGACCAGATTTAGATCGATTATTTAGTTTCCTGTGTCCCTCTCGAAGGTGGGTAGGATCCCAGTGTTCGGTAGGGTCATATCCAGGCATAACATTGCCTGTAGTAGCTTGATTCAGTTAGCTTGGTGCAGTGGTAGTGTTTCTTGGCATCCTCGACCAGCCTGTTAAGCAAGTCCGTAAACTCGTTGATATTCAGACTGGGATGAGCCTATGTTGTAGAAAGAACGTCCCTGAGCTTGGCCCTAACAAAGCTTCTCTGTTTGGTGTCCGGCTGATTCTCAAACGGCCGATTGTTGCAGGACCAGATGGCAGCTTTGTCAGTAGCGTCTATCATCCATGCCTGCGTGTTCAGCCTTCTGTACGGATCAGCAATAATAGCCACATCTATCTTCATCTCACGGATCTTTTGGGTCAGCAGGTCGTTTACCGCCCCACAGTAGTTCTGGTTGTGCTGTACTACTCCCATTTTCTTCCAGGGGATTTGCTCTTATCCTTCCCGTGGAAAGCCGCACATTTGTAACTTCTTTCTAGGTAATGGTTATCTTCATCCCATTCACTGCATAAGGGACAGTGCAGGTCGTTGAGACAGTCGACGAATTTATGCCCTGCCTGGCCACACTTGATGCAGAGACTAGATCTGTCGATCTGGCTCGGGCATTTGCTGGCAATGTGCCCCATATTCCAATACTTAAAGCATTTCTACGGTCAAATGACCTCCTTATTTGGGCAGATTGCTAACCCAATCCATTCTGCTCCGTGCTGCCATGAACTTTTGGGCCACTCCTTCTGGCAATTTGATCGAGGCATTCTGCGTGCCCTTGTATGCCGGACGCAGCGCTCTTATGCAGCTGTTCTCTATTTGGATCTCGCTACCCGCTGCTTTCTACAGAGCCACCTTTACTTCTTGTGCCGTGGTAATCTCGTCGAGGTTGTTTATTAAGAGTTCGACCTCGTGAGACTTTTCAGTAACATCCGCATCAATTCCCATTACCTTAGTTACTTTGCTACGGAGGTCTATCATTTTATCGCCGTCACTCTGTTGAGAACTAACAACAGTTTGTCGTTGTTCGTCCTCCTAATTGTGTCGATAGTTCTTCTAGCTCCTCTTCGTTCAAATCGTCTTTGACTTTCTTGAGCACTTCCGCGTACGTTACGCCATCCTTGGCACTGACAAGAAGTGTTTTTGTCAGCATTTTCTTCTTATGCTATCTGGAAGGTTTCTTCTTCTCCTCCTCTTCCTATATTACACATTTCTTCTTCTTTTTCCTTTTTTTAGTTTGCTTCCAATCCATTTCTTAGACTGATAACGACTGCGGGCATTCCTTTTCTTTGTTCTCTAGCTTTTCAAGGGGAGAACTGCATTTCCATATGTGGAGCTTTTGCCGGGGGCGCTTTTTTCGGTGTCCGTGCTTCTTCTGCCGAGTGCGGGGAGATCACTTTCCTCTTCTCAGACCTTTGGTGGTCTGTCTCTCCTGGTGACATAAAGAGCTCTTTTGAACGCCTTTGAGCTGTTGGATTCTCGCAGGCGTTTGGGGTGCCATTAGTGTGGAGGAGAAATTGGTATTGTTCTTTGATGCGGCCTGTTTCAGCTTTCGGTTTTTTCCAAATGACTTCTTAATTTCCTCAGCCTTTTTATGTATATCGTTGTTAATATACCTGTCAGGTACTTTCAGCAGCTCTATGAGTTCTTCTACCAGCTTTTCATGTTTATCTCAAGCGGTAGGTATGTTCAACTTTAATTTAGATTTAGGGAAAGCATTCTCGGGCACCTTCTTTTGCGCCTCATTTTGGGATATTATATGCACGCTTCCATTCGCTAGCGTGCCTGTAGGTTGGTCCATTGCGGTACTCGCCAGGTTTCTTACGAGTGTGCTGGGTTTTTGTTGCTGTTGAAACAGCGTGCTGTTGCCTTTTCCAGATCTCTACGTCTGATGTTACTCCGACACAGGGAGGCGAGCGTCAGCCACCGGGGGTTGCACCTGATCGGAACTGACGGCAGGATTTCATATTTATATACCTGCCTGGATTACTTGTTCCATTATTTGGGAACACTGATCTTGGTTTTTTTATCCTTTTAACCTTTCCATCTTTTTTCTTCTTCATCCTCCGCGGTGCCGGGGTAAGGAAAACTTTCGCGACAGTACCGCCTGGGTGTTTCTTTCATGTAACTTGGTTTTATGCTGTCCGCTCTGCATATTTTATTTTTGCGGTATCCTCCACTGTTGTGGGGAGCATCGCCCTATCCGTAATCAGGGGAGGCGCCAGATGGGAATAAAACCAGAAAAACTTCCCTACTGGTGTGTATGTGTGTATGCGTGTATATGTGTGTATTCATGTGTATGTGTGTATGCTTGTGTGTGTGTCATTCTTGCCCAAATTTAGGCAAAGAAAATCGAATTTTCAAATTTGAATTATTGATAGAAACAATTAGAGGAACGCATCAGTCGTATTATATATATAATACAATTTATATAATATATTATATAAAATATGACTGATGCATTTCTCTAATTGTTTCTAACAATAATTCAACTTCGAAAATTCCATTTTCTTTTACCCAAATTTAACTCCTTCCTGTATCGTAAAGAAAAATCGTAGGAAAATTAAAAAAAAAACTTGTTACTTTTTTCAAGCCCTATCCTAGATATTCATTAGAAGTTTAAATTCCATAAATGTATGGTGTGCAATGTAGTTTTGAACAAAACATGACCATTTTCGTCAATTCAAAAAGTCTCGGTAAATATGAGAGATAGAAAAGTGTTTATTTGAAAAAAAAATGTTCACTAGTCTAAGTAGAATATGGTAAAATTTTTCTAAATTTGTTTACAAATAAATATTTTTAATCTTTGAAAATTTTCTTTAATTAACAAATGAGATATAATCTATGCGAATATTATATTTTCCATGAAGTAAAACAAAATACGGTCGCGTTGTACTTGTTCAAAAAATATAGCTTAATGATATAATTTTTTTACATACTATGGTATAAAAATTTGTTTAAGCATTTACAGTTGACGTTATATTGTCGTAAGTATCAGTATTATATTTATAAAATTGTTATTTATCGAAATTTTGGCAGATAGTCATTTATATTCAACGTTTAGTGATTGATAAGAATTTACACAAGTATTCAATGTATTAAATTAATTTTAAATTAGTATCAAATTACTTATTTCATATCTTGATATTAAAATGCAATTATATATTTCAGAGATTTTTGCTTTGATAATGGCAAAGAAGAAAAATGTATCTATTGACAGACGTGCGATGATTGTGGGCCTTCATAGAGTGGGGAAAACCAATCGTCAAATTGCAAATCACCTGAAAATTTCCAGATATACTATAAGTTAACATGTTAATAAATTTTTAAAGTATAGCACTACAGCTAATAGATTTGAAGGAGGTAAACCAAAAGTAACAACTAAACAAAATGATAAGTATATAGCATAAATCAGTTTACGTAATAGGCAATTAACTACTGCCGAAATCTAGTTTAACGTTCATAAACATCTCAAAATGTCGATAAGTGAAGGAACTATCAGAAGAAGATTTCGAGAACGAGATTTTTTTGTTAAGTAATATGAAGAAACCTGTATTCAGAGAAGTGAACAGAAAATAACGTTTGCTTTGGGCTGGAGAGCACAAAAATTAGATTGCAGCTGATTGGAAAAAAGTTCTATGAAGCGATGAATCTAAATTCAAAATCGTTGGAAGCAAAAGGAAAATTTATGTAGTTGTACGTCAAAGAATGAAAGAAAAATTTTCAGATAATTGTATTATACCGACAGTTAAACGTGGTGGTCGATCGATATAAGTGTGGAGATATTTTTCGGGTTCCCGTATTAATTCTTGTGATCTTATCAAAATAAATCGGATTATAAAAAAGAAAGGTTATTATATCATTATCGTAGGGCATATAGTTTTAACTCATTTTCTTTCTGTCTCTCAACACTTCTATCTTCTTTATTAATATATTGTGTTTATGGATTGTTCTTCCTTTGCATTCATACATGTATTTACAGTGTGGCATCTTATCCGGTTTGCGGAACTTCAGGCGTGCGTCTATGATCGAGTTTGATTCTCCTTGATGCCACCTTCTTGGTCGATGATCTAAATATGATTGCCGTTGTCTCTGTCAGCGTCGACTCCGACAATTTTGCTGTCATTGTCGCGGTTGCTATTTTCTTGATCGAACTGCACATTCCTTTGTTCGATTCGAGTGCCACCACCTCGCCTGCTTAGGTCCAGTGCATCGCTTCCTATACCTGCTCTTACATCTACGAGTTCTCTTTCGCATATTCCTCTTCTCCTCCTTTCCTCGTTCAATTGCTCTTGTAAATTAGTATTTTTGAAATTATTTTTTTTCAGTTTTTCATTGAATTCCGCTAATCATTCATTGATGTTTTTGGAATGCAGCTCTTTGTTTTCCCCATCTTTTTAATCATGTTAGTAATAAATTTCTTTGTCCGTTTATTTTATTCAACCAAGTATTCAATCATATTCAAATACATTCTTCGCAAATTTTTCGGCATATTCGCAGTAGTATTTATTAGATCTGTCTCCTATTAAATCTATCCTCATATTTCTTATGAATGCTTCAAAAGCACCGAATTACCCCTATTATTTTCCGAGTCGTCCACCTTGTTCACCTCGTGCAAACGTTTCTTTAGCATCTACAGTTAACTACTCTATGCCCTCGACGTCAAACGGCTCTACTTCCTTTCCTCCGTATTTACTTTCGATGAAAGTACTTCTTCCTCGTTCTCTCTTTCCTGGATTTTGGATTCTTTTTGTTGCTTCTCATTCTCCTTTTTTTTCGTAAGTAATAAACTGCGTGCCATGTAAGTCCTTGATCTTAGACGGTTTAGCTCAACTATGCCATGAAGTTTTTACTCTATTCTCTGATTCATCGCCAATATTAAAAAATATCATACCGTATGCTCGCATTCGAAATATTATGTTCTCTTCGCAACCTAATATTATCCCTTCATGACTAATAAGTTTTTTCTTTCTTTATCCATTTCCCTTTGTTATTTACACTGCCTTACTTCCTGATAATGTCCATGTAATCGCCAGTCTAATATCATTCACATATATTTTATCGTAGTATTATCTCAGTACATTTGTCCTTCTAATTTCTACCGTGATGAGTGGCTACGCCAATCGAAATCCAGGTGTATTTTCTCAAATCTAGGTGGACTATTTAAAACCTATATTGATGTTTTAAAATTCAGTTATCTTCAACAAAAATTCAACAAAATGCATTAGAATTTGCAATGAAATACCCAATGGAAATACATTTGGAAAAAAAAATACAGCCTATAAAAAAAATTTTTATAGGCCGTTTTTGATTGTTTTCATTTCATACACTTTATTTCTATTGTTTCATGACATTTTTATACTGTATATATAAAATTTGTTGAACAATAATTGGGCCATACGTGATTTATATCTTCTTCTGGTATTTTTACTATTATTTATTCTTTTACGTAATTAGTTCATTTTGTAATTGATAAAAGTCTTTATAACATTCAAGTTGTAGGTCATGAAGTTCAAGGTAACGAATTACTTATCAAAGCATTTTTTCAGGCTCCAATAACTGCATATTTGATAAAATTGGCAAAATATATTTGTTTTTAATTTAATTATACCACTGGTAAACAGAAAACCAATTTAAAGATATGTTCTTAGTATTCCAAGTACAAGACCTGTTCAAAAAGTATCGCGAATTTTGTATTTTTTAAGAAATAATTTATTTATTCATGGATATCTATTTTATCTCCTTCAAAGTAATCCTCCTCGGATATAATACACTTGTGTCAACGTTTTTTCCAAACTCAAAGCACTTAAAAAAATCATTTTTTGTGATCTTATTCAGCTCCTCCTTGGATGCCATCTTTATCTCCTCAATCGTGGCGTAGCGTCGTCCTTTCATAAGCCTCTTCAGTTTTGGAAACAGGAAAAAGTTACAGAGGGCCAGGTCTGGGGAATACGATGTCGGCGGCAAAATTACTGTGTTGTTTTTGGCCAAATATTCGCGCACAAGTAACGATGTGTGAGCAGGGGCGTTATCATGATGCAAAAGTCAGTTTTTGTTCTTCCACAAATCTGGACGATTCTAGCGGATTGCTTCGCGCAAATTGCACATAACTTGTAGGTAATATTACTTACCAACCGTACTACCCTGTGGCAAAAACTCTGTAATGAAAGAAAACTGTGAGCAAAACCTTCACATTCGACCGAACTTGGCGCGCTTTTTCCGGTCTTGGCTTATGCGGCAGCTTCCATTGGGATAATTGAGCTTTGGTTTCCACATCATAACCATAAAACCATGATTCATCACCAGTTATGATCCTCAGGAGTACATTCGGGTCGTCACGGACCGAGTTCAACATCTCCTGAGCAATGTCAACGCGATACTGTTTTTGGTTGAAATTGAGTAGTTTTGGCATGAATTTCGCTAATCGGTATGTTTAGATCCTCAGAAACTTCTCTAACGGTGATTCGACAATTGTCCAATACTATTTTCTTCACTTTATCAATGTTTTCATCTGTTGTTGACGTGCTTGGGCATCCGGCACGTTGTTCATCGTTCACATCTTCTCGGCCCTCTGAGAACATTTTGTACCACCGATAAACGTTGCTTTGGTCTAAGGTAGCTTCACCATATGCCACAGTCAACATTCGGAATGTGTCCGCGCACTTTATTTTGTTTTTCACGCAAAATTTGATACAGATTCTTTGATCCATTTTTTAGAATAGGCAAAAATCGAAGACGAGCCAAAATACATCCAAGCAAAACAGCTATCGAAAATTAACTGAACATTCAAAATGGCCGACCTTGTCAGCATAAGTAAGGGACATGAATACTCACATAACGCTACAAAAAAATCAAAAATTAAATTTACGTAGCTCGCGAAAATTCAAAATTCGCGATACTTTTTGAACAGACCTCGTATTTCCATGGTCAATGATGCAAATATTTATAATTTTTCGAAGAAATATAGAATACATTTTCAATGAATACGCTAACAATTAATGAACGGAGGTATGATTATATCAGGTAAATCACCTTAATATTCATATACTTGATATTAGTATCTTTGACATTTGCATTCAGAAAATGTTTTAAATTCTATGAAATATTTTTAAACATGCATAATATTTGTTAACCGTATGTGTTAATTTAAACAATTTAAATTTATTTTCATTTTCTTTATTTCTTCTTGATTAAATTTCAATTGCCAAATGTATATATCGTATTGTATTAAAATGGAATAGAAGGTCTTCGTGAAAATATTCTGTAATATTATAGAAATGAACTTTAATAACCTTATTATCATATTATTTCGAACGGCCTTTTCCTGTAAATATTTTTCTATAAGTATAAAGGGAAACTGATTCATATTTCATTTTTAATGAAAATGATAATGGATTTTTTAAATCATTTTAGACGTGTTTCTGAAGCATCAAGAGGTATAAAAATTAATGTCACATTTTCATTCATACAGCAAAAATTAATATATAATTTCAGAACGATTTTCAATGTGCCGTTAAGAAAATTCGGTCACTTTAGAAATAGAAATTATCGTAGTTTGTTCCTGATATAGCCGACATATTGATGCTGTTTATTGTAGTATGTCGCCGGTGTCCTCGATAAATTAATGTATTTACATAAAGCAACCCCTATTGCAAATAATGATGTTATGAAATGACGTAATAGATAGACGTTATGAAATGACGTAATTTTATGACATCATTGATCATGTCAGGGACAAAATTGTCGTTATGTTTTTCAAAATTTTGATCGATCTAAAATGAAATCATGTCTTTTTCGATTGATATTAAAGTATTTTTATGAAATGACGTCATGTAGAAACGTTAGAGTTTATTTATTAATATATAACAGAATTATCTGGCTGTTACCAATTTTTAAAAGGGGAAGGCAAGAGAGGCACATTTACTCTTAATAGTCAGGAATATCGAGAGGAAGAGGTCAGACAAATAAATTTAATGTGTTACTTTGTAACGGAGAATTCCGGCCGTACCCGTCTGGGTTGCTCGCGGCCGTCCGCACAAATTATTTATTCGGGGATTCGGGAAGCAAAAGACGTTCCCACGACTGAATATCGCGTCGAGCATAAACACGTTAAGCGCACAGATTCGAAGTCGGGATGAGGAGTGATACGGCGGCGAATAAACACAACAGCGGAATAACACTAATCCTTTAATCGTCAACAATGAGTTACAATACAGCGATCTCGCGCTTATACACTACGAACGGCACAACAATGAATCCGAACGCGAAAGGTGAATCGGCGGCTGATCAGCCTGCCGATTCTCTTTATAAATTAGACCGTTACAATAATGCCCGACAAAATACTTTTCGGTGATAGGCCATTAACGGGTAGCCAGCAGGTCTGCTGTGCTACCAACCACAGACCGACGCCCGAACATGCAAGAGAGAGAGATAAGAGGAAAATACGGCACCGACCTCGACCTTCAGTCTCTCCGACGGCTGGAGCGCTCTGCACTGTGACGTCACTGGTGTGCTCCCGACCGTATCGCTGGTACATTTGTTGTCGTCGCTATCTGTCCTCTGGCTCGCCCTCTTGCTCGCTCCGCAATATTGCTGCCTCGATCTCAACCCGCTCGCTGTTGTAGCACGTCACGTTCCTCGCGCGCTCACCCGCGCACCTCGCCGGTTACCCGCACGCACCGGTGCCGGGTATCTTGTGGGACACGGCTGGGCGCGACCCAGCCTCACGCTCTATCACTCGTCCGCGCACCGGGCGTGTCTCCGGAATGAACAAGACGTCGGCGAGGTCGCGAGGCCAACTCGGAAAAACCGCGACCTTTCGGTTTATCCGCGCGTGCG